TGACCTCTATTGGCAACAGAATTTGAGTATTGCGACCATAGCGCTACCATATTAATAACTACAGTTTTTAACACACCGAACGATATTTTTAAAATTTCTATGTTACAGTTTGTGGTATACTCATATACTAATCAATAGCCGAAAGAGGTCGGAGCGTTCTTTTACCCGGATTTGAACTGGCGCCCTTTCAATGTGTTCCCATGGTGGTCACAAAAGAAGTTGTGCGACTGATCGAGGAGTGTAGTGAAGAGATGTGAGTTGTGTACAAAATAGAATAGAAAGCATCCAGCTTCATCTGCGAAAACAACAACATCGATTTTCCTCGCGACATACTGAGATGAAATCCGTTCAATGCTCCTATATTATGCATGTTGTTTTTGTTGACAGAAATACAGACGATGGCGTAGTAGGAACTGGAATTGGTGAATTTTGAACTGAGTCTGATGTAGTTATTGAAGCATTTGTTATTGCTGTTGGCTGTTGCGGTGATGTTGATACTACCGGTTGATTTTGCGATTGTAAAAATGTTATTAATTGTTCTGCACGGTCAATGCTACTATCATTACTAGCATTCGGTTCTGTTAAAAGAAATTTTATTTCACCGTCACTTAATGTTTTTTCTTTAATAACACCAGTTTCTATTAAATTATTGATTTCTTGTCGTACAAATAATTGATCGCTATATTTAACGAATTCATTAATATATTGTGTATAATTATGAGCCATATGTGTTGCCGCGAATGCCGTTAATAGTGCATCTGATGACGATTCTTCGAATATTTTATAATATTCCGTTAATGTAATACCGAATATACTAAGATGTCGTTCAAAATCAAGTTGTTCTGATGTTGGTGGAAATGATATACGTGGCGGAACATTTTTTGAATATGATGCATGTTTACAGCCAACTAGATATCTACCTTCTGTTACTAGTTCATGTTGTTTCAAAGATTTGATAGCAGCATAAAATCGTTCAGATTGTTTAAATAATGGCCCATTATAACCAGGTAATGTATTTGTAGGTCTGTTGTATCGTGTTATATTCGATTCAGTAAACCAATTTTGTTTAAATCGTAGAATTTTTTCACCATCGGTACATATTTCTTTATTAGCATTATCAAATATATCTTCAATTGATGAATCTGAACGAATATTAAATATCGTTGTGCACATATCAAATATACTTTTAAAATAAATCCACGCTATCTCACATTTTTTTTTTCAACATATACTATTGGATATCCTGCAATGAAAAACACAAAAAGGGAGACAAACAATCATTGAGTGTCAAATATATAGAGATGATATGGTGTTTATAAGAAACCACTATCATTCACACATTTCGTAAGATGTAGACGTCTTTCCCGTCCTTCCTATATACGGCTAACGTCTGACTACAGAGCGAGGCAAAGTGAATAATGTTATTCGCTTTTCTTTCCCTAGTTTCATATTCATTAGAAAACGATAGTGAAGATTTTATTTCTGATCCATTGAAAGTATATCGATATATTTCAGTCAACCTGTGAAAGGCTGAGTCCTAGTCATACGCGGCGGAGTAGGGAGTGCTGGGTGTGCTCGAGCACTCCAAACTTTTGAAAACTTAGTAGAAAAAAACCTTTTTTCCCAGCAGAATCTCACAAAAAAGTCATTTGAGTACCCCCAAAAGTTCCATACAATGGTATGAGCACCAACCCAATATTTATTAAGCCACCCCTGATTCTAGTTTTCACAGAAATGAGCAAAGAGAAGCAGGTATTACAGTGTCATACATGTACTGAATAATCAATGCGTTTGTGACTTCTTGCTTATTTGCACCTTTCACACTTTCACAATTATTTTTAAACGATCAACGGACAGATAGACAAAAGAAAACAGATATATCATATGAATGAAAAGTGAACAGCCTCGTTTGGCCTCTGATCCCATGCAGTGACTTTTCGAAAATTTTTCAGCAAGACTATGAGCAAATTTTTTTCTGGAGCACCTCGACCCAAAAGCTATCGCGTACAAGATAATCGAGTATGGAGAAGACGAATCTGCAATCGGTTTTGAGCGAACAATCATTTAACATTTTCGATTTAGTGATATGTGTTGATGATGAAGCTAAAATATTATACGCTAGATTATTTTTTAAATTAAAATAAAAAATTACCTACCACTAAAAACTAATATCAAACAGTAATTATAGAAACGGTTCGAAAGTTTCAAAATATTTTCTAGAATGCGTAGTGTAATTGAAAACGCACCCAAATGAGACGCGCTAAAATAAGGTGCACTTAAATGAGAATGCGCTCAAACGAGAGACTCTAAAAAAATACGCACTAAAATTTAGCTCAATCAAATGAGGCGCACTCAAATAAAGCCCCACTTTCAATCTCCCTTAACATACCATCATTATTAACAGTAGCACCACTCAGAATTAATTTATTAATTTTTATATTAATTTGTTCAATAAAATCATTTGTTTTTTTGTCATCTTTAACAAATACATCATCGAACTGAATCATTCCAGATAATTCATTTAATACAGCCATCGTATTAACGTATATTTGAAAAAGTACACAAAAACGTGGATATATTTCTTGTGACTTCGAATAAAAACCTTCTAAATAACGTTCAATTTTCAAATTTTTATCAAATAATTGATTATAATGTGCTGCTGTTCGATTATAAACATAATAATAAGCGCTATCAGCATCTAATATATTTGTACCTAACGTGTTTGTAGATACTGCTCCTTCTGTGGTTGTCGTTGTTGTTCTTGTCATTCCGGAATCTATAGTAATATATAATTAAAAAACATAATATTTATATAAAAACTATTGAAAATTATTAATAAGACAACGCTCAACTACGACAACTTACCATGTGTTCTAAATCGATATTCGATATTTTTCATTAAATGAACAACTATTAAAACATGTTTAATCGACGGTATACCGTCATTTGATGATACTTTAAATGATTCCATTGGTTCTTTTGCTTTTTCACGTTGAATCGCTAAATAAACCCTACGATTACATAATCCATCTAGTCGCTGGCCATTCTTGAATTGTTTTAATACAGCTGAATATGTTGAACCCGTTGTGCCACCTAATATAGATAATCTTGAATTATTTATTGAGATTAACGATGAGCCTGTTATTCGTTCATAATTTTGAATTTGATCAAATGCTTTACAAAGAACTGGAATGTCTTCTGTTGCTGTACTACCGAACATACCAAATTTATTGAAAACCCCATCTATCTCATCATTATAAATAAATGTATCCGATTCTTGTAATAATAACTGCAACCCATATCCATTTGGAATCGATGTAATTGAACATCGTTGCTGCATATCTTTTCCAAGTTTTAAATCAGCAAAATATGATTGTGGAAATAAATGGATAACATCAAATGCAGCGTTCATAACATGACTCATATTTGGAGTTTTTCCAGATCCTAGACATGTAAACAATAAACATACTACAGAAATATAAAAATAGAACGTAAAGTAAACTCACCAGATGGTCCCATAACAACACTAAACAAATTTAGCGCTTTTAAACTATTATATCTTGTTAAATAAACAGATTTTTGAGCAAAATGCGCTATTGTTGGTAATAACGAAAAAAACATGATATTTTCATTGGCCCCCGAATCTTTATATCTTGCTAATGCTTTCAATTGATCATTGGAAAATAAAAACGCTAAATCAATATTGTGAACAGATGCTTTATCAATATTACTATAAATACGATCATTCAATTCATCTTGTGCCATATTTAATTTGTTATTTGTTCCTTTCTTGTTTTCTTAAAATGTAAAAATCTGAAAGGTAAAATAAATAACGGAAATAAAACCATAAAAGAACAACAAACAATTGTTCACCCTGTCTACAAATTAACCCCACTTAAGAATTGACTCTTCAGAATGGAACGCTACATCGTTTCCTTCAAAATAAACTAAAGACATTGAATTAAAGAACTTCTTCATTGCATAAATAACAAATATAGGATAATATTATAATCCCTTCTAGCATTTCAATGAGAATTTAAAGCAAAATGCACCAGTACACACTGTTTTATAGGTAATGTATGCTGGTAAATGCTGCTTCTTTTTCGGGCGAAGCGTACCTTCTTAGAATTTTATGATAGCGAAAAGAAGTTTGCACTTTCAACAAAAATAGGACAACAAAGAAAACTGAAAACAAAAGTGATATCATAATCGACCGAAAGTGGAAAACTGGTCACGCAGTTTTTTCTCTCACAACATAAAAAGCAGTGAAGTGTCTTTTTTTGCATTAACACTCTGATACAGGGAGAAATTTCTTAGATTTTGCGCATCTTCTAAGAAAGATGACCCTTTTTGGTACACATAATGGTTGAGGAAAAATTTCAACCTTGCAACGCTGAAAGTGAGAAGAACTCATGTCTCTCCAGTCTTTCACTCATTTGAACTACTGCGAACTTTCCCTGTCTATTTATGTAACTTTGTTTGGAAAAAGCTTCAAACAGAAGACAAGTTGCTCAAATTCTATTATAGAAATGGTCTGCATACCAACTTAGGAAAATAAGAAGTGCGTTGCTCACACCACCAACTGCGGTTTTTTTAGGTGACGGTCAGTATGAAAATAACAGAAAGTAGGCATCTTCCATCACACGCGTGCTTTCGTATAACGTATTTATAAATGGTGCGTGATCTACTGGTCAATCACTCATAGCCATTATTGATCAATGCACTTACTTGATCTATTTTCACAGTGGTTTAATCTCTGAAAATTCTTTTACCAAAAAGGCATAAATAGGAAAGATAAGAGAAGCCCATGTTCTTTTCTGGTTCTGAGCGTTTAAAGGAGAAAAGCCAAGTTTACTAACTGAGGTCACCACACTACGGCCTTATGTATAAGAGAGGTTCCTAAAAGTGTTCCTTTGTTTTTACAACAGAATTACTTAATACCCTTTTCTTTCAATTCGTCCAGTTCAGCGGCTTACTCTACGAAAGTGGATAAATATCTTTTGTATTTTGTAAATGAACAGCCAATAAATAACTACATCATTTGTTAAGAAATGATTACACTATTTCAATCTACTCTTTGAGCCAACAAGATATAAAAAGAAAACCGAAAGAAGAAATAAAAAATCGTTCAAATAACGACATGAATACGCTCTCTCAAAAAGTGTGAAAAACAGACAGTGCTATGCTAGAAAGTACTCCGAAATCAGACTGACATTCTCTTTTCCAGTTCGGTGGGACTACAAGGTGGGAATATGAGAGCTCTGCTAGCTTAAAAGATGATTTCAAACTCTTAAATGCAACGCTGCTTTCAGCAGAAGCAAGCGAAAAATTTCAGAATTTCATACAGGTCAATAAAAGGAATTCGGTAGAGTACATATCTGCTTTAGACGACACATGCAAAAAAAACTTATTATTCACAGAACAAAACGAAGAAGAATGAATAATGTCTTAAACAAAACCTAACCTCGTTTTTATGTTTTATTTAAAACATTTAGATGACTGAACAAAAGCAATACAAACTTGAGACAGGATACGGGTAGGTATGGGTAGGTACGGGTAGGTATGGGTAGGTATGAGTAGGCATGGGTAGGTACGGGTAGGTATGAGTAGGTATGGGTAGGTACGGGTAGGTATGGGTAGGTACGGGTAGGTATGAGTAGGTATGGGTAGGTATGGGTAGGTATGGGTAGGTATCGGTAGGTATCGGTAGGTATCGGTAGGTATGGGTAGGTATCGGTAGGTATGGGCAGGTATGAGTAGGTATGGGTAGGTATGGGTAGGTATCGGTAGGTATGGTTAGGTACGGTTAGGTATGGGTAGGTATCTACAGTCTGAGTTGCTGCAACGTTGTAAAATTTGAGGTTGCGGCAACGCCAAACTATTCATCCTATGGCTCGGAGAGACCTAGAACTCAATTTAGTAAGATAATCCTGAGATTCGAGAGGAGTCAAGTTATTGTACATTTTGTAAAATGATACAAGTCGAAAGTATTGTCGCCTGACACTGAGATCGGGCAAACCTAGTTTATTAACTAAAGATAAACTCCCAGTTTTGTAGCTGAAGATTCTGGTAATAATACGACTAGCTAAACGTTGGACCGCCTCTAATGGTTCGAGATGTGTGGTGAATTTAGAATCGTAAAGAGCACTACAGTAATCGACTTTAGGTAAAACGCAAGTAAGGTATAAAACTAAACGAATTGACTGAGGCGCTTCTCCAAAAACTCGATTAATAACAACAAGCATCTTCCGACAAGATGTTGCTGCTTCGCGAATATGTGTTGCCCATTTCATATCGTGAGAAAGACGTATACCCAAAAGTTTAGGATCGGTGTCGAGTAAGAGAATCGAGTTTAATAGAGTTAACTTGAAGTCGGGCTTTATTTTAGGATCAAGTGAAAAATAAGTAAATGAACATTTGTCAACGTTGAGTGACATGTGATTTTTATCGCACCAGTCTGTTACCCTGTCTATTTCAGCTTGTGCTAAATTTTGAATAACAGAAGTGTTTTCTGATTTTTTGAACGGTAACACAACAAAAAGATCATCAGCAAAAAAACTATTTATCACAGATGATGAAACTGGCGCGGGAAAGTCGTTTAGAAATAAAATAAAAAATAGAGGACCGAGGATGGACCCTTCTGGTACCCCCGAGAGAACCGGCGAGTGAGAAGAAAAGCTCTCGCCAATTTTGACAAACTGAGTACGCCCTGTAAGATAAGATGTAAACCAATTAAAAAGACTCCCATCGATACCAAGTAGTTTTAACTTATTTAGAAGAAGGTCGGTCGGTACACGATCGAACGCTTTTGACAGATCAAAACTTAACCTATGCAATGTTCTTTTTCTGGACTTGCCTTATTTAGACTGCTAAAAAGAAAATGAGTAACTCTTAGTAAAGCATCTAATGCTGAGGAAGATGGTTTAAACCCGAACTGGGTAGCGCTTAACAACCTATTTTCGAGGAGAAAGAATAACAACTGCTTATGAATGATTTTCTCAAAAATCTTACTTACAACGCATAGAAGTGAGATTGGGCGATAATTTTCGATAAACGATGAGTCTCCTTTTTTGTACACTGGTGTTATACTGGCTACTTTCCACTGAACTGGAAAAATCCCTGTTGAGATTGAAAGCCTAAATATGTGTACTAATTGATTTCCGAGAACCGGTAGGCATAACTGTATAAACTTTAGCGAAAAACCATCAACTCCAACGCTAGAGGTGTTTTTCATAGCTCCTACAGCTTTCACCACCTCAGTTAGGTCAACGAGTATATCAGAAATTAATGGTCTCGCTAAGTTGGGTGCTGTTTCAGAGGTAGGAAATGGATTTTGAACTGACGAGTAACAAGAGTTAAAATAGTTGCTGAACATTTCACAAGTCTCTTTTAAAGATGAAGAGGTATAGCTAGTCTTGTCCGTAACAAACTGAGGAATGGATAATTTTCCGTTACGAAACTTATTGACAGATTGCCAAAAACGCGTTGGATCTTTGAAAAGAGAAACAATCTTTTTAAAATGATTTTTCTTATCTTTCTTAACTGACTTAACCACCTCATTTCTTAAAATTTTAAAAAGAGTGAGATTTGCAGCTGTTTTGACAGACTTCCAGCAATTAAAAGCCGTATTTCTTTTACTCATTTTTAGTCGAGTATCTTTGGAAAGTGTTATATTGGCTTTACGGAGTACATTTACGCGCTTAAGTGGGACGTATTTCTCAATGCAGGCATCGACATGTGTCTGCCAGACTCTTACACTATCAGAAGGATCAGCAGCACTGTAAAAAGAAGAAGAAATAGCTTCTAACATCGAATAGAGTAGTGCCAAATCACATGAGGAAAAGTCGCGAATATATTTGTATTTGGTTTGTGGACATGTGACACAAATGTCGAATGAAAAAAATAACGTAAAATGCATTGATTTGCCAATAGGAACCTGATCGAAAACTTTTGGCGCTTTCAAAATAGAAGGATAGAGTAAGTAATCTAAACAAGAATCCTTTGTTGTAGTAACGATCGTATGATTACAGACTAACGAAAAAACCGCTCCAAGGTCACACAGTGCTTGGTACATTTGTATGTCAGAAGGATCAGCGTTGAAATCGCCTGCGATAAAAAGAATATCATAAAGAGAAGGTAGAGAGGAATGGAGAAAGGACTCTAGCTGAGTGAAGTATCCATCTCTAGATTCTTTAGGCCGATAAGAATTACAAATCATAAAGATACGGTCGTTTACTATAACCTTCACTAGTATCGATTCTGTACTAGTATCAGTCGCGATCAAGGAGCACTGAAAAAGATCTGGAACGTAGATGAGGACTCCTTCTCCGTGTCGATTTCGATCACGTCTGAAAATGGAGTACCCAGGTAGGCCGCATTCTAAATCAGATATCTCAGGTGATAAAAAAGTCTCCTGAAGACATGTTATATGAGGTTTAGCAGACAGGATAGTTTGTTGAAATAGCATTAAGTTGGCAAGAATACTTTGAATGTTATGATTCAAAATAGTGAAAAAGGACGAACGAGATAAAGTATTTTTGGATTGCCAAACAGATGCCAGTGGATTAACCCTGGCTGTCACAGCCGAGATTTGAGACAAACTACCAGAGAGAGCGTCTGAGACAATATCTTGGGACTGTGAAACAGAAAGAGAAAGTAAGACATGCGAAGATGAAGAAACAGAGTTATTTTCCGACATTAAAGAAGAAAACAATGTGTCAATTGGCCATAAAGTTTGGTTAAATACAAGTTTTCAAGTAATCATC